ATGGTTTTTTCATTCTATATCGCGCTACTCCATTTGGCTGGGTAGATACTACGAGAAGCACTGTGCCTAACGCCGTCGTGTCTCTCACCGTTCGCTGATAGAGCTCTCTGGAAAAATTAAACATAAAGTTCTCAATTATTGCAAGTTTTTCGAAGACAATGCAATAAGTTACCTTGTAAATCTGAAGCCGTGCCCGTCGTAGGCGTCAGTTTGGATTCTAACGTTTGCAGTATCACTGAGTGGGTATTTACCGCCATCTGTTGCTCGCACAGTAAGAATTGACTCAGTGTGCTCCTGAGGTAGAGGTTTGGCGAGGCGAACAACTCCAAGCACCGGATCCAGTGAGAAGAAGCCGTGTTCATTTCCTGGAATTGGGATAAGAATTTGCATAATCTGGGTCACTAATGTTTCCTTTGGCTCAAATGAGATTATAGTAAGACTGAAAGCATAAGTCCAAGTTTACAGTGTACTTTGAACGAAGTAATTAATGTCGATGAATGGCTTTTCGATTGAAATCGAGCGAAATATCGAAGAAACGTTTATTAGCGCCTATTGAAGAACACTCTAATCATATCCTTCATCTTACATGTACGCAGACTTAGCCATCCATTCAATCCACTCACCACTGATAATACTGTACTTCACCATTCCATTCTCTCCAGAATCAGCGTCGTGGGCTAAGAGTGTGACAACCGAATAACCAACAGGTGATCTGAACGATGGTCGATTACTCATTTTAAAAATAGAGAGAGAGAGAGAGAGAGAGAGAATAGATAGATAGAGAGAAAAATAGAGTGCATAAGATTCAGGTTATGCAATAAAAAACTAACAACGTTTTACAGACTGAGTTTTTCGAAAGAAACGCAGCAAGCTAATTTTGGAATAAATAAAAACATTCTAAGTACACCGGTGGTTCATGCTATGTAATCACAGAGAGAAAACAGAAGTTTTTATGAAATCTATGACAGATCAATAAGAAAGCACTTAGAATAGAGCTTCGCTGCCACATAAATAAAATAAAAAAATTCTAAAACATTAACATTTCTTGTTCCTTACCTCAATGGCAATGTAACACTGTAGTCTTTGTGAACAAATCTTGGCGCATTGTCATTGTCATCTGTAACTGTCACTGTCAACGTTACATAATTGGTGAGTGTTCCTTGACGAGCGAAAATAATTGCCCGAATTTCACGGCAGACTTCATAATCCAGTGATTCCATTAT